GAGGGGGTGTCACCAAGTGTTACTGCACCAGGTGACACCTACCCTAGGGACGCCTCTGAGGCACACCTATGTTTCCGGGGGGAGTTAAATCCCTGTACATTATGGGACACCACGACAAACTTGGAGGTAGGCATCATGGTGGGTAGGAGGTGAGGTAGCGTGAAGATGCAGTAAAGGTCCAACTCGGCCTGAATATGGTGGATTCAGGCTGTTTGATGTCCAGAAAAAAGAGAGCTAGAGAGGAAGTGCAGTGAGAGAACGAGAAAAAGGATCCACTACAGGGGTCTCAAAGAAGGATTTGCATAAGCAATCAGTGGCGGTGATCACGTGCACTGCCATAGTAGGGGGTTGTCGAAGCCGACTGGGCGCACATTGTAGTATATGATCCGAAAACATGTTCAATAAAAGTAGCAATACTATTGCCTGACCATAAGGAAGGAAAGGGAGGGAGAGAAAAAAGGCGGAGGAGTGAAGGAGAGAAGCGCAGGAGTATCTAGACCCATTTGTATGCATGCTCGTGGGCAAATACCAATGAGAAGAAAAAAAAAAAAAAACAGAACGGGGGGAGGGACATGGCACGATAACTCCTAGGTTAAATGGCGGGAGTCCAAGACCATAGTCCTAAACAAATATTTTAAGGTCTACTGGGCCATCTAAGAGCCCATCAGTGGTAGGTTTGTGCAGTCTGAAAGTAGCTGACTAGCCAAGGAAATAACAAGGCAATGAAAAAGTGGAGTGATGGTAGAAGTTCAATCTTCGTCTGGAACTTCGGGTCTAGAGGTTAACCTAGTCTGCCTAGGTGCAGGACGTTGTCTTCGAGGATGAGGTTCCCAAAGTGGAGTAAGGCGAGGAGACTTGCAGGAGGATGATTGGGATTCCTATGAGCCAGTGGATGTTGAAAGCATGAGCTGCAGCTTAGTAAGAACTTCCTGAGCCTCTTCCAGCGTGGTGAAAGTGGAGGGATGGCCTTGAAAGGAGAATGTTAGTTTAAATGGAAAGGTCCAGCGATATTTGATACGGTGGTTTTGTAGCATCTGCACGAAGGGTTTCAACTCTTTGCGTCTCTAGAGCATTTGTGGAGCTGGATCAGAGAATATTTGATATTTGCGGGATTGAAAAGTCAACTCCTTCTTGAACCAGGCCACTTCATGACTGCCTCCTTAGTTTTGTAAAAAGTGGGTTTGACTATGAAGTTGCGTGGGGGACCATCCGGTCTTTTCAGGCCTAGGACCCAATGGAGCTGGTTGAATTCCAGTCTTTCACTTGGAATGCTGGGAATGAGCTCTTGTAATAAGGCGGTAACTGTGGAGTTTAAGTCCTCTATGGAATCAGGTAGGCCTGTAATCCTGAAGTTGCCCCTCCTGCTACGGTTCTCCAAGTCTTCAAGTTTCTGGAGGGCAGAAGCAAGATCCAGTTTGATAGTGTTAATATCTTGTTGGTGGTTGTCGATCATCAGGATTGCATCGTCCATTTTGTGTTCAAGGTCATCGATATGGGATCCTATGTCCCTCATTTCACGACTGATCTTAGTAGTGAGTTGTTCCGCCGCAGTTAGTGCTAGGGTCCAGCAGAGCTGAATCATGGCTTTGGACTTGCTGAGTGAACCCCTGTGGATTAGATGGTAGAAATTTTCTGTGGCAAGTAAGGTTATTCGCCCGTTACGGTTCAGGTGGCAGAAAGAACCCAGTTTGGAGGAGTAGGTCAGGGCAGGCTCAGACTATGGTGGTAGAGTAGGGGACTCCAAATGGGAGAGGTGAGTGAAGCGCTACCAGCCTGTGGTGTAGGGGTGCCTCTGTGGAGACGTCCTTACCTGCCTTTGCAGGGAGCCTGTATCAATGAGAAGGTAGGCTGCTGTAGTGTCTAGGTCCCAGCAGGGGTGTCATTGGTTCCCTCCATGAGGAAGCAGTTTGCCCACCAGCTGTGGCGGTCTGTGTACAGGCCTGTAAGTCTGTGGAGGCCCGAGGAGCCGGGGCTAGCGCAGGGGAGCAGCAGAACAGACTGAAGCCGGGTCCACACAGGTAGACCAGCCACTTGTGCGAAGGAGCTGTACAGTGCTCGGCTGTGGAGTGGGCAGAGAGTAAAGGCAGGCCTGATGGGAGTATGGGCTGGTGGGGTGGCCGCAGGTACTCACTTATGCCTCGAGGCCGCGGCGGCAGCCGCTATCTTCTTCCGAGTGCAGAGCAGTGCCTCCAGTGATTGAGACTGATTTTACTGTTGTGGGTTTAGTAACACTTTAAGGATGCATGGGTGGCATTCCCAACAAAACTTTAGCAAGTGTCTAATTTCCTGAAGGTAGAGGCATACAACCCATGGCCTATGACTTGCTAGCCTATGTCCTAGACCTAGACCATATGCCCAAGATACAAATTTTGCTGGTAAGTGAAAATTATTATTATTCCCTTTTGTCCATTGAGGGAAAGAGCTTGAGGATAATTAAGCAAGCTAGGAATGTCCAAAAGCAATCCAAAGAGAAAGGCAGACACACAAGGACAAACACCATAAAACCAGCCCAACAACAACATACAAAGGCAAAAGGAAACCAGCCTCTTGTAGAAACATTTTACCCAAACTAGGATCTACTGAGAGAAAGTTATATTGATGATATAGGACTTGGAGAAGTGCTATAGAAGAGAAACAGGCTTAATGACAAAAAAGCCCAGAGGCACTCACTGTCTTAGTGGAGCAGGCTTAAAACTGGAGAAAAGTCACTTATCTTACAACTCATAGGGTTATGCAGCAATTTGTCAAAACCAGTTGAAAAATAGTGAATATGGAAACTGGAGAACATTTTTTTTTTTTTTTTAGATTTTTTGCAGTAAAAAAAATAGGGAATCCATGTGCCTAAAGGAATCGGTGACTGAGAGGTAAACTTTGATGACCATCACCTCATCTAGGCTTGAAGAGAGATCTCATTGGGGAGAACCAGTGTTGGACAAAGGGAAGGTAACACAATGTCCTTCTTAGAGATAACATTGAGTAAAAAGGAAATCCTTTGACCTTTGAAAAATCAAGGTTGGTTTTGAGACAAACAGGGCTCCGTACAGGACCATGCTGATAACTTGTAAACCTAAATTATTACAACAAGAAAGGCTACTGTAGGAGATAGTGATGTCATGACTAGGTACAAACTGGGTGCTTTGTAATACCAACAATACTAAGATTTAAGTCCATGGCTGACATAAAGGCCTAACACTGTGAGCAACATGTGTGACCTCATGTAAAGTACCAGTCATGGAATGATTAGCAAGAGGACATTGAAAAGAAACTCGCAATGTTGATATCTCACCCGACCTTTGATGTTGGTGAAGGCCCAATGTTCTACCCCCAGCTGGGGGAAAGAAGGAACACGGCCCACCAAGAAGACACTGGTGGAAAAACTTCCACATGAGAATACTGGATCTGAAAAGGCTCTGTCTCAGAATCTGGGTTTCGACAGCCAGGCTGTCAAAGCCAGCAAACAAGAAGCAGGATGTAAGATTGGTCCTTGAGGACAAGGGGCACTCTTTATGGCTGGAGGAAAAGAGATTTAATATCCAAATTCGGAAAGGCTTCTTCACAGTATTAGCTGTGAAAATATGGAATAGACTCCCTCAAGATCTGGTTCTGGCTAGCTCAGTAGATTGTTTTAAGAAAGGCCTGAATCCTTTCCTAAATACGGATAATATAACTGGATACTAATATATTTATAGGTAAACTTGATCCAGGGAATATCCAATTGCCTCTTGGGGGATCAGGAAAAACATTTTTTTCCCCCACTGCAGAAAATTAGATCATGCTTTGAGGGTTTTTTGCCTTCCTCTGGATCAACTGTGGGTATTGAATACTGTATATGAAGGTTTTATGTGTGTGTGTTGTTGTTTTTTTGTTTTCTTTTCTGTTGGTTGAACTGGATGGACTAGTGTGTCTTTTTAATTATTTATTTTTTTTAACCAGATTAACTATGTAACTTGGCTAGCATCCAGTGGCGTGCCGCTGATCAAGTTCAGTGCAACAGCCACCTGGTCAGTCAATAAGTTCAGCGTCAACACTAGTCACTACTTGGTCCCTACTTAGGGAATTTGACTAAACCATCAAAGGTTGGAAAATTATTGTGGAGGTAAGCATGGGTTGAAGAGGAAACGTCTTTGGTTTGAGAACCCAGCCCAGACACCATATTTGAGGGAGGAACATGAAATCCTCTAATGTTAAAATGGAATGTACATCTCAGATTAGAAATAAAACGGTATCTAGGTCGCCTTCCCTCCCCACATTCAGGCGCTCCCTCAAAACCCATCTCTTCAGGGAAGCCTACCCCACCCTCACCTAACGGCCATTCTCCCTCATTCCTCCCACCACTTCATCCCCCTCAGCCACTTCCTATTGTTCCACTACCCCTTCCCTCCTAGATTGTAAGCTTGAAAGAGTAGGGCCCTCTTACCCCCCGTACGCTGTCTCTTTTTGTTGTACTGTGCCATGTATTGTCCCCCCTATTGTACAGCGCTGAGCACACCCTTTTGCGCTATATAAACTCGATGTAATAATAATAATATTAATCTAGGTGAAACAACAGGTGACTGAAATTCATTATGAATGGAAAAACTAAATTTCGAAGAACAATCCTCTGGAGAAACCCCAACAGCATGCAAAATATGAAGCATCTCTGTTTCAGATTCTGCTGGGAAAGGAGACAGTGGGTGTTTAAAACAATTATGATTAGGGGAAGCAACAAATTAGTCATAAATCCCTATATAATAAAAGGGAACCCTGCCTTAAAGGAAATATATATATATATATATATATATATATATATATATATATATATAATATTGCATACATTCTCAATTATAGGTAAATGTGATCAAGTGAAATTCCCCTCTCCTTTTTGAATTGTAGTGACATTTCCATCCTAGGCTATGATTACACCATGTCATTGATATTGCATATTTGCCGTCCTAAGATTTCTGTCTTCCGAATTCAGATATGTTTTTATTTTGTTTCTTACAATTTTTTTCCTTTTGCAGACCCTTTGGACAAGCACTCCGCCCTTTCTTGGATTCCATTCAAATTCAGCCACCTGGAGGTAACAATTTTAACAGGCAAAGTGGTCCAAGTTAACGAAGTGGAATCGGGTTCAGCGTGGGCAGCACCCCACTTTTTAATTTAAAATATTTTTATCACCTGTTATAGACCCATATGTGTTTTTTGTTTCATTCCATTTACCCTTTTTTTTTTTTTTTTTTTTTTTTTTTTTTTAGCAAGGACCTGAAACAGTACTGAGAAGGCTCATGATTTTTCTGTTATATCATAAAGTGTTTTCATTTTAACTGAAAAAAGTCCCCTTCTTGAGACCCTTCGGTTTAGTAACTCAGAGGTATGCACACCTGCTTAAGTCAACAGCAGGACTTTGATATTGCTGCTATTGGGCATGTCCATGAGTCGTTGTACCTGAGTGGACAAGCTGCTATACCAGTTTTCACCTGCTGTATGATCTCTAGGATTGTGTGCCTTTAAAACTAATGGATGGGGGACATGCCAGAAGTAGTTTAAAGTGGATAACCCCTAGTATGTCCTGTTTGTTTCTTCTATAGTGTTAAAATCATCTGTATGCCTTCAATAGATTGTAAAATAATAGATCAAACTGCTAATATTCTTATTCTTGTAATGGTCATAACTATGAGAGAATTAACTGGCGTATATTGGTTTTGTGACCTAGTCCAAATAAGCAGTACAGCTGTAAATATTACATGTGACAATATACCACATGCAGTATAAAGGTTGTCATGGGCGGTGGTGTTCTTGAAAGCATAGTGTTTGAACTTTGCACCTCCTTTAAGCAATTTAAAGTACTTCAAAACAGTGCTTTAGGCTGTTTTTTTTGTCTGTACCAAGGTTGTTTTTCTGCAGGTTAACCTTTATCTTATTATCTTGTTTACTGGCTCTGATTCATTGGCCATAAGCTTTTCAATAATTTGATATTGCCTTTCCTTGGATTTCAGTATATACATATCCAAAAGGCTAACAAAAATAATCTGCTCTCCTACAAAATCTACATCTCTGATGCCTCAGTATTTGCTATCTGCTTGTGCAACTTATTCTTTAATAAGTGCCCAACAAAAGGTATGTTCCCATTTTCCTCTACTGGAGAATGAACAAAATTCTAGGTTGCAGCAAACCTGACTGAAACAGCGAGAGTGACCCCAATCTTACTGGAAAACCAAACACTGCCTATTTATTAATAGCAGATTTAATTCCAGTAACTAACCTTTCTTACCTTCTGTGACTATAATATAGATTTTCATGTGTCTAGGCATTTGGTGTTTAAGATGGATTATGTACTTTGAAAGACCCAAACACACAAATGTATTTTGTCAAAGCATTGAGTATTGGTTTTATGTGAATATACTGTAGGCACTGTCAGCCCAAGACATTGAAACACATCTTGCCCCTTCTCCTTTCCATGTTTACCACTTGTGGCATAGATGATGGATCCCTGTGGCACTTAAATTCTTATCAATGATTACTCCTCTTTACATTTCTGTCATGAGGGAGAAATTATGACAGCCAGGGTGCTGTCTGCATGAGCCGTTACCGGTTTTGAGACTCCACACCCAGGCATTTTTGACACCGTGATATGCCCATTGCTGTGTAGTTTATCGTGGGCCCTTTGAAGTCTGATGCTGATGTGGGGATGGTTTAATAACATTGCATTTTACATCAGATCACAGTATCAAGTCACAGTTGTATTGTTTTTCTCTAAAGGAATAGAAAGTACTTTTGGCTCTATATCTACAGTGAGCATGCAAAAATCACTGTATAGTAAACTAAATGTGTAATGTATTCACAAAATGGCCCCAAGTGTGTTTACTTTGTGACTGGATACCAGGTTTCTAGATAAAGAATCTGATACCTGTGCTTCACTCTATGTATATATTATTCTAGAGGGAAACAGGATTGAGGTAAGATACAGTATTAACTTCAGCCAACATGATATATTTGAATCAAGTGGGCAAAAACATTATGTCCTATGTTGTGCCTTATATTGTGGGTGATGTAGCCCCCCCCCCCCCCCCCCCCGCTTCAGCCATGACAAATGTTGGTCTGAGCCAAACTTCCTGCCATGACACTCCCCCAATTAACGTATAGAGTTATTTTCACCTTTATCAATCAAAGAATATACTGTATATCACTCAAATTGCCACACCCATACTGTAATGTATAGTGTATCAAAACAAAGAAAAAGGAAATTGGACTTTACTAGCAATGAAAGGGAACACATAAATCATATATAAAAATATCATCTTTTATTTAAATGCTCGTTAAAATAGCCTGAGTTTCAAGCTAAGATACAGTTGCAAGAAAACGTATGTGAAAACCTTGGGATTACGTGGAGTTTTGCATGAATTGGGCATAAAATGTGCTCTGAACGTCATCTAAGTCACAACAATAGAAGAACACAGTCTGCTGAACATAATACTACACAAACATTTAGATGTTGCCATGGTTTAATTGCACATAACATGTAAACATTCACAGTGCAGGGAGGAAAAAGTTTGTGAGGCCCTAGCTTAATGACTTCTCCCAGAGCTAATTGGAGCCAGGAGTGAGCCAACCTTGACTCCAGTCAGTGTGATGATATTGGATGTGTTGCTGACAGCTGTCCTGCCCTTAAAAAACACACACCTGTTTTGGGTTTACTGGTTTCAAGAAGCACTGTCTGATGTGAACCATGCCTCGCAGAAAAGAGCTCTCAGAAGACCTACGATCAAGAATTGTCACATTTTGAATGACAATTTTGCGGTCAAGCAACATTGTACCCATATGAAATTTTTATAATTTTTTTTTCACACAAATAGAGCTTTCTTTTGGTGGTATTTAATAGCTGCTGGGTGTTTTATTTTTTGTGCTATAAATAAAAGAAGAGCATTTGAAAAAAGGTTTTCTTTCTTTCTATTATAAAATTTTGCAAACAGGTAATTTTTCTCCTTCACTGATGTGTGATGATGAGGCTGCATTGATAGGCAGCACTGATGGGCACTGATGAGGTGGCATGGATAGGCAACATTGATGGACACTGATAGGCTGCACTGATGAGGTAGCACTGGTGGGCATTGATGAGGAGGCACTGATAAGCAGCACTGATGGGGGGCGTTGACTGAAGGCACTGTTTGGCAGCACTAAAAGGTGGCACTGATGGGAGGCGCTGCTGGGGGGCACTGGTGGGTGGCACTGCAGGGCACTGATCATCACTGCCCTGATGTTCAGTGTTAATCTCCTCTGAAAGCTGCTGGCTATCGGCAGTACTTTCCTCCCGCTGTGACAACGTGAGCAAAGTGTTGCCGATAACCAGCAACTGTATTTACTCTGTGATCTGCTGTGCCGTTATACACAGCTGATCACGTGGTAAAATGCCGCTTGGATCATCACATGATCAGCTGTTTCCATTGGACACAGCGATCACGGAGATCGCCAGGTACGCGCATTCTGGGAGGACATCATATGACGCCCTCCCAGAACTGGTTAACCACGCTGTAGCTGTCATTCGGCTATAGCGCGGTTACCAAGTGGTTAAATAAACATAAAATATAACATAAGGGAGTGAGTTTTTCAGTCATAATCACAAAATGTCATGCAGTTGTTTGTTCTTAAATATATCTTAGCTTGATACTCAAGCTATTTTAATGAGTATTTAAATAAAAGATTTATTTATATATATATATATATATATATATATATATATATATATATATATAATTTCTGTGTTCCCTTTCATTGTCAGTAAAATCTGAATTCCTTTTTCTTTGTTTTTTAACCTCGGCCTTTACAACCACTTTAAACTGAAAATTAATTTGGGGTTTAATATGACATCCCCAATTACTGGTAATATATAATTAGGCTGCTTTGAGCTAAAGAGTAACCAGGGCCAGAATTCTGTAGAGCCAACAATAGCCTTTGGCCTGGGGAAGCAAGGCTACCAGTGGCTGAACACACACCCACCCCTCATAGTTGCATAGTTGGTAAGGTTGAATAAAGACACTAGTCCATCTAGTTGCAAACTGTCAGTAACTTACTCCTTTTTATAATATATTGTACATATATTATACATGGGTATAGCATATAGCAGATATATATTTGTCATTCACTCTCCCCCACCCCCAGTGCAGCATGGCTAGGTCTTCATTAACGCTTTACATCTACATGTGGCTATTTGTTTGTGGAATTGTGTACTGACCTGCATAGGGTCTGTGTACCTAGTGCTGACAGAATAGGGCAACAGTTTGCTGAAGAGTGGGAAAGCTGTCTTTCAGTTTTCACCCACAGACTCTATATGCCTTGTATAGATATGGCATTGGATCTGGTTAGCTTGATGCCAAGGATAGCCCATCAAATGGGGTTTGAGGGGGAAGTACAAAACAATTGGTCTAGAAGGAGAGGAAGTAAAAAGTATTGGAGAATTGATAAACTCACTATGGTTAAATAATTTACTATCAGAATCATGAACCTGGAACATGCATGCCAACCAAGGATATCAGAATTCAATATATACATTTTGTCAGGGTCAGTGACTTAGGAAGTATTGAAGCCATTACAACTGCAAGACGATATTGCAGTTTTTATTTTCAGAAAAAGAGGTCAGAAACGACAACCTCCATTCTCTCACAACACAAGTATCCTTTAAGACAGGGGTGGACAACTGTGGCCCTCCAGCTGTTGTAGAACTACAAGTCCCATGAGGCATTGCAAAATTGACAGTTGCAAGCATGACTCCCAAAGGCAGAGGCATGATGGGACTTGTAGTTCACCAACAGCTGGAGGACCACAGTTGCCCACCCCGTGCTTTAAGGTATAGAGAATGTTCACTTAGCAAAGTGAAGCTGTGTTAACTTTGAATACCAAAATATGTGCAGGGTAGTTTAAAAAAACCCGGAATAGGATTCTTGAAAGAAATAGTGCTTGTCCTGCTTTAGTAAATCAGCCATTTAAGTGAGGCCATTTGTATTTGATTATTGGCTTTTTGGGTTTGTTTGTTTTTTCTTATCTAAAGGTTGTATTGCTATGTCAATATATTGTTACTGGTCATACAGATTATTCTGTACAGAAAGCCTTCTTGGGGTCTG